GGAAAACGCAATTGGAGGAGCATCATGTTGACACATGACGAGTTTCCTTGCCACTGCTTGCTGCAGACCTGGTGGTATCCCAAGCGTAGTAATTTGGTGTTGATCTGGGACTCTGGAGAGCTGCTCTCCATGGGTTTACCAGATTCATCACAGCCCATAACAATAGTGATAGTGGGAGTTATGATGGCGATACGATGGCTGGAAGCTCATGTGAGAGAAAATAATAGACAGGAGGCACCGACGAGAGAACAATTGCAGAAATTAGATTGTCTAAAAGATTTAGATCTTTTTGAGACAATGTGCAAAGTTCTAAACATTCCGATGGAAGTGAAGAAGATATGGGCAAGAAAACGATTGATGCCATGGTTCAGAGCTAACATGACTGCATGGTTGTACGAGTATGCGAAAAAGCATATGTCGAAACATGGCAGAGTGTACAGTGAATATCAGCTAGACATTGGGGCAGGAGCTTTCAAGCGAGCTTTCGTGACCCATCGGAATGCAGTGACCACCGCTGTGAAAAGAATTTCCAGGACGAGCGAGCGTAGTGGAAATGAGAAGGCAGAGATGCTGAAAGAAGATTTGGAGAGAAACGTGACGTTGTGTCTCCACAACAGCTTCTGTAGAAACAGAGAATCAAACGTGGATCCCCTACCTTGCTGTAAACAGAGGGTGGAAGAGCAGAAGTGTTGGAGGACGGCTTCCAACAGCGTCAGGATAGTCAATGACGTGCTACAAGACACGGAAACCGAGAGTGCGGAGTCAGTGTCACAGGAGGAGGAAATGGAGCATTGACGAATGGTCGAGAAAACAAGAGGCAGCAAGAAAGAAAATTAGAAGAATTTAGAAGTTTTAGAACTTCTAAACGACGAAAAAAGAAGAAAACAAAGGGATGATGAAGAAAAGTTAAAACTCAGAATTGTTTTATGTGTGTGAAAAACTCAAGTGAGAAACCAAGCAACCAAGTTGTAATTGAAAACTGAAACATTTAGTTGAGTTTTGGAATTGTTGCATTTTTAAATTTGCATTTTGGTTTTAGTTGAAGTGGCTTTAGAGACACTCACTTATTATTTATTTAGAAAGGCTTGAGGGAAGAGTATATTTAAATATTCCAGCCTGCATGATTGTTTTTAATCACTTAGGAAGACTGATAACTTTGTGGTGACATGAAAAACTTGAGTAACTTCTTGAGGAGGGAGGTTGTTGCATTGTTCTTTCTAACCACAAAGTTTCTTAGTTTTAATACTCAGGACAATAGACAAGCAAGATTTCCGAAGGGAAGGAGCATAGTAGGATAATTTTAGCTGGTTGGTTGGCAGGACTGTCCTGCAAGCCAACACCTTTTAAATCTAGGAGAAAAAGTTTCAATCGGGACATTTGACACTGGAAGTCAGAAAATATGTTTTATCTTAAGTCATATCCTCAATGTGCAGATTAATGAAAGAATTTGAAGGCTATAGTGATGTAGTATGATGCCATTTATATTCTGCAGTGAGTCGATGTGACGTAGATAAAAGTAATTTCGTGCATTTTGTAAATTCTGTTCGATGACACTGTAACCATTTAGAACATTGCGCGATTCAATGAGGACATTGACCGGACTGTCCGGGGAGTATGTGACATTCGACCGGAATGGCCAAAATGCAATTTATGCGGGATTCGAATTTTGAGCAGTAAGCCTTCCGAGTTGATGATTTCGAAGGATTAGCGACGTTATTGGAACGTTTAGCCAAACGGTGAGGGCTAGAATATTCTAGTATTTTAAATTTTCAAAAATTCGAATGATGACGTCACATTTCTGAGAAATGCTGAAACGGCCATTTTAACAAAAAGCGAGTGAAAAACAGAACAACTTTTATCTCCGATTGCGAACAGTACGAAAATCGAGATTGGAAAACGACAACGAACTACAGAATAGCAGAGAACGCTCCGAGTTGCAACTATTGTGCTGCTACAATAGTTGCAAGGCCGTTGCCAACAACGGTGAAGGGTGAGAACCAGCCTTCCGGATTAGCAAGAAATCAAGAGTAAGGAGCTTGATTCGGCGGATTCAAGAATCCGGAAGGGTCTCGGGACGGAAACTTTTATTAACTCACATAAACTTTTAGCATCCTGTCATGTCCTGACTTGAATTTAACTGATATTTTGATTAGTTTTGACAAGGATGAGGTGCTAGGAGTTGGGGGAAAGGGTTGATCCATCTTCGATGGAGATGATGATTTTTATCTACTGAACAAAAACAATAGTAATATAATAAATAGTAGCCCTGTTTTTAGGAGTGACCTCGTGGTCTGGGGATACAGAGACCCAGCCATGAGCTCACTAATTTCGCATGTAATTCAGTTAATTTGAGCGTTCTGGTCGAAGCCGGAGAACAGTAACGTTTTTGTCAGCCTGATGTAAGAAAGACCACCGAAAAGTACTGGCTTGGTAGAGACGGTGAAAAACATGCAAAGCTCTGTTTAGACGCTAGCCAGTCGTCTTAAGACTTAGTTTTGTTATCCGTCGATATGTATCTTCCGGGCGAATGTTACATTCTATATTAAATCCATTGGAGATTGATTGACCCTTTCCTCTTTCTAGCTACTCATATTCTAAAATATCAAGTTACACCGGTGTTAATTTAAAGTTTCACGACATCCAAGTAGCTATACAGTCAGTTTTATACAGTCCCTTCACATAAAACAGTCTCTGGGGGACCAAGCCTCCGCTCCCGTAATATTCCTGCGATAACCCTCTTATCTCTTCTAATTTGCGTCCCGGGAGGGTTCCGCTGAATATTCCTTCCCCACCGAAGCGTCCTTCTCCACTAATATCCGCTGATAAGGGTCTTATCGTGCTTTGTTGCCACGATAAGAGGCTTCGTGTTTTTCGTCTCTTGTGCGACCGTTTTTCACAATATTTGTCGTTGTTCTGATTTTTTCAGCTTTCTTGGTCAAAATGGCCGTTTTTCGTATTTCTGAGAAATATCAACTTGAAAATCGAAATTTTAAAAAATAGAAAATATCAGAATACTTCGACCCCCCTTTCAAGCACTTTTTTACTGTTAAGGCCTTTTCTCTCTGATTCGTGCTTCGTCGGAAGGTTGCGCTGTGCCAATCTGGCAGAATGGCACATAACTTCTTCTGATTCTATTCGAACATGTGAGTAACTTATTCAGCTTTGTACCTAATAATATTAAAATGCTTAAGGGTGTACAAATAAATAGTTTTTTCCACTTTCATTCTTGATTCGATTATTTTGTACACAAAGTTTTTCAAAACTCGCTACAACGAATCAGACACATGCACTTGGCGCATTTTATGCGAATGCAACAACTGTAGAGACCTGAAGAAACTTACTTTTATAACTGAAAACTAACCTTTGAACACAATGACTGGGTTTTATGCGAACCCTTGGATTATATTCCTAAATTGAACACAATGACTGGGTTTTATGCGAACCCTTGGATTATATTCCTAAATCCTTTGTTATTATTATTATTATTTTATTGGTATAATAATGTCTTCTGATTTTTTTTCAAACATGTGAGTAACTAATCTGACTTAGTACATAATACACTGTTAGTATGCTAATGCACTGACTATTTTGTTTAGTAAATAAAGTGTTCCTTGTTTTATTATCCGTTATTGTCGTTTAGTTTTTAAGGGTTTGCTTTAGTGTCTTTAATTTTCTTCCCACGCTATAATTTAGCATCAGAATGGGCCGAAGAAAGTGATTCGACGAAATGGTTTATCAGTGTCGAGAAGAACAGGCTCGAATTTTTTCTAGTCTAGAATCTAGTCTAGTTAGAAGCAAGTGTTATTATTGGAGAAAAGTTTTTTTCCTTTAGTCGTGAAAAATCTAGATGACTCAAAGAAACCTAGTGTTGGAAGCTTCAATTTCGATAGTTTTTTTTTGGTTATTCAGGTTTTGAAAGTGTTTTTTTTTGAATTTTTGAATGACGTGGTTCGAATTTTCTGTGTCTACTATTGTTGAATAAGTGTCTTTTGTCATTGTTCCGACCTTTGAAAATGGGGAGGAACTTTGGATTCGGGTGTGTTTTAGTTTTTTTCCACGCAAAATCAGCTACCACAACCGGACAGGAATGAGTGATATAAAATATTAAAGTCTTTTCAGTCGTGATTCGAATTACATTGAAATTTTTTCGAAAGTTTTCAGTGTCGAGAAAAACTGGTTTGAAGTTTTAACTTTTTGGTCTAATTTGAGCTAACTAGTAAGGTAGTTTGTAATTGCAATAGCTTATTTAGGTTTAATTTAAGCCGTGAGAATTTAGTTTTAATCAATTAAAAGAGTTTTTTAGCGCAATTTTGGGAATCGAAAACTTGAAAATTCAAAAAAACTCAAAAAATTCAAACGTTTTAAAATTTTTTTCAATTTTTTTTTTCGTTTTTCTAGTCATTTTTCTTCGAAAACTGTTTTCCAATTGATCTTTTTTTACGGCTCTCAAATATGCCTAAGTTCTTTTTTTTGTGCAGATTTTTTTAATCACAACATGCAGAAAAAAGCAACGCCAAATTGAGAAAACTTTTTTGCATTTTTTTTAAGACTGGTCAGAACATTCTGAGCAACTTACACAGTAACCGGCTATCCTTTTTGTAATTTTATCATTTTTGATACTGCGTTTTTGTAGTAGTCGGGCGCATATAGTTTGCTCGCTTTTTGTTAATTTTGTGAAAATGATTACAACAAATAGTTTATGATTCAGTAGTCTATGCTTTTATTTCAGGAGGAAAGCCAGTTTTAGAATATCAATTTCCAACGATTTCGTCACTATTTTTGTAGCAAGGCTGGAATAGCTTTAATGGGACAGGGCCTGTTTTCGCACATTTTGTGAATCGTCAGAACTTTAAAATTGCAACCTAAATTATTAAATGGTCAAATCATACAAAAACGTGAAATACTTGAGCGATATAAACTCTGAAATCAACCAATAAGAAGCTTACAATTGTTGTTGCGTAATTTATTGCATCATAATTTTTTTTTCATTTTCTTTTTTCAGAGATACAATTGCTATCCACAAATATTGCGAGACTTAAGTTGAACAGAATAATGTGAGTATCTTTCTTGAGATGGTGTAGATTTCATTTATCAATAATTAAATTATATGTTTTTCTCTCTAGGTATGCCCTTAGTGGAATTGCTGCATTGTTTTTGGTGTTCTTCTTCTTCACCGGGGAAGCAAAATCAAAGGGCCCTCTTGTAACTAAGAAGGTAAGAAAATGGTCTTCCGGAATGTCGAAAACTGCGAAAATAATACATAAATATGTTTTTTTTTCAAGGTTTTCTTCGATGTCCAAATCGGAGACAAGGACATTGGAAGGATTGAAATCGGCCTTTTTGGAAAAACTGTTCCGAAGACAGTTGAAAATTTTGTGCAACTAGCTCAGAAAGAGGTATCCAGTCGATTGATGCTGATTCGAATGTAGAAACAGATCCATCTTTGTTCATCATTCACTTCATTTAAATAAAAACTGTTTCAGAAGCCAGAAGGTTACAAGGGTAGTGTTTTCCACCGCGTAATCAAAGATTTCATGATTCAAGGCGGTGACTTCACCAGAGGAGATGGAACTGGAGGTGAGCATTTCCAGTCACACTTTTTCTTCTGGCATAACTTATTAAATAGTGTTTCCAGATCAATGAATTGCTGAGCGCGCCGGGGTGCGCTCCAACTTATCATCGACAACAGAACTACAAACGATTATATCATTTTGGAACTGGAAGTTATCGACTATGCCAACCAAGAAAAAGACACCGAAATATCCATGTGGCTCTTGTGGTGATGAGTGCAATTTGAATACCTTACAATGTTCAGGGTGCTTCAAGTGGTTTCATCAACTGTGTTCAGGGGTTCCAGCCCCGGTTGTGACTTATCTCGGTAGTGTCAAAGGACTCATGTGGAGATGTGAACCATACATCACAGAATCACATAACCGAAACAACGAAGCACCATTACTGTTTCAGAAAAAATTCGAAGAAATATCCAAGCAACTGAACGAAGTCAAAGATCAACTCACGGAAATGAAAACTGAAAAAGAAACTGTTGTGACCCCAAACAATGTTGTTCAACAATCTATGTCTGAAGTCACAAAAAAATCCATCAGAGTGAGCGGCTTGCCTGAGAGCTCTGAAGACAACGTTTACAAACGGAAAACTGACGACATCAAAAAAGTCAAAAACATAGCATTGAAATTGGGTTTCGAAGAACTTAGAATAAATAGTGTTATTCGAGCAGGTAAATACGACCCGGATAAAGACAACACTAATTGTGGAATTAACGTCAAGAACAGATGCCGAATTACTTGTATCCAAAGCAATTCTGGATAAGTTTGGAACGAAAAATAATGTTTACATTTCCCCTGATCTAACCCGCGAAGAACGTCTTGAAGAAAGAAAAGTCCTCAAAAAAAGACGAGAACTAATAAATACTGGAACAGACAAAAATTCCATCAAAATCCGTAATCTCAAATTACTTGTTGATGGGGTTGTTGTCCCTGTCTGACTAGCACGTCCTCCGGCTCCGTCTGTTTTATTAATAAATGCAAGATCATTGAAAAAAGAAAATGGAATATCTAGCCTCATATTGGATCTCAATCAACTGAAACCTGATTTATGTTTAATTACCGAAACTTGGCTAAATGACTCTATTTTATTGGACTCACTGAATATTAAAGGTTATGATCTTTTCAGATCTGACAGAAACTTCAATGCTACTTCCAAAACTAGAGCTGGGGGTGTGTGTATTTACGCATTAAAATCATTACAAACTGAATGTATATTGTTTGAAGACTCTTCGCATCAATCATTTTCGGAAACTTTATGGCTCAACTGTGTACTGAATGAACGAAACTTTTTTGTTGGCTGTATTTATTACCCGCCTGACTCAAACTGTGACATACAACTCGCTGAATATATACTGGATAAAAGAGAAATAGTACTTAGAAAAAATCCAGCCTGCACATTTCTCGTTGCTGGAGATTTGAATAACTTCAACAGTGACCTCTTGACCGACTTTAGCGACCTTGTACAAATTAACAAAAATCCAACTCGGTTTGAAAAAATTCTGGACAAAGTTCTTTGCTCAAAACCAGAGCTTTACAAACCAACCAGCGTCATAAACTGCTATTTGTCGACAGATCACTTAGCGGTTTACTGTGAGCCCTTACAAGAAAAAACAGAAAGATACCACGCATCATTCAGAAAAGCAAGTTTTGCTAACAGAGAAGTATTTGGTATCACTTTGGACCGAGTAGATATGTCCCTTATTGATTACTCTTGCCCAGACTTAGCCTTTACCCAGTTAAATAACTTGTTACTTGAACTTCTAGATGTTACCTGTCCTATAAAAACTGTGCGTCTTTCAGCTAGAGACCCCAATTACATGACTCCTCTGCTGAAATCGCTTCTCAAGAAAAAGTACCGCATGAAAAAAAAGACAGAATTTCAACCGAAGTAGAAAATGCTATCAAAATGGAGATAAAGAAGAATCTCACAAAAAGTAAACGTGGAACCAAATCTTGGTGGCAAGAAGTGAACTATTTAACAGGCCGAAAAAACTTAACTTCTACAGCAAACCACGAACCTGACGAGCTGAATCAATACTTTGCGGACATTTGTACTTCTACGGAGTATATTGAGCCGCATGTATGTAACGTATCAGGTTATGACTCCTCAGAGGTCTCACTACAGCAAATATACTCCCAGCTCAAACGATTAAAACAAACTGCTACCGGACCCGACCAGATTCCGTATTGGGTCTGGAAGGAGAACGCTCATTCGCTTGCAGAACCAGTGTTAAAGATATTGAACTTGTCAATATTGCAAACCAAAGTCCCCTCACTCCTGAAAACTGCAAAAATAGTTCCGATCGCCAAATGCAAAGCCCCTATGGGCCCTGAGGACTATCGACCCATCTCAATCACCCCAGTAATCTCTCGGTTCTTCGAAAGAATTATTATGAAAAACTTCATCTCAGCACAGTACAACAGCTGGTTACCTAAAAACCAACACGGTTTCAGAAATTCAGCGTCTACCACAACGGCTATGATTTGTCTTCAGCAAGAAATTGCTTCTTTTCAGAAAAGTAAAGCTGATTATATACAGATACTATCAATAGACCTTAGTAAAGCATTTGATAGAGCCCAGCATTCAATTATAATTGATAAGCTACAATCAGTTAGACCGGAAATCAATCCATTCATAATCAATTGGATCGCAAATTTTCTTCAGGACAGAAAAATTTTCACGGAAAGTAATTCTCAGCGTTCGAACTTGCTATGCATTAACCAAGGTGTTCCTCAGGGAACAGTTCTTGGCCCGCCGCTTTTCAATACAGTAAGCTATGATTTGGATTTGGAGAGTACAAACAGTGCTAGAATTATAAAGTTTGCGGACGATGCAAACTCTGTGATAGCGGGGTTCGGCTCGGTCGAAAACACGATGAAAGTTTTGGAGGAAATTAAAACTTGGTGCTCCACAAATAACTTCATACTCAACGAGGGAAAAACAAAACTGATGACTGTCAAACCGAATGACATTAGTTTAGTACCACAAGCTTTTGATGGTATTGAGCAAGTGGAAGAGCTTAAAATTCTCGGAGTATTATTTGATAGCAGGCTTACGTTTTCATCGCACATCAAAAGTTTATGCAAAAAAGTAACCAGCAGTATATACCTTTTGTATAGACTAAAGACATTTGGTATGAACATCTCTGCCCTTGATATTTTATACAAAATTTTGGTGCAGAGTAAAATTACTTACGCATTACCGGTATGGGCATGTGCCAATTCGACCGAATTGGCCGATGTGGACAAAGTTCAGCGCAGGGCTCTTAAACTTGGTGTTACTTCTACATTTACTCCAATTTTCGAGCTCATAGAGAACCATGACAACAAACTATTACAGTCAAGTTCAAAACAAGACCATATTCTTCATTCAAAATTGCCAAAACGAGAAACTTATGCAGAAAACAGACTTAGAGAAAAAGCAGTTGCAGCACACGAAAAATTAGAAAAACATTTCAAGCTTTTTCCAGCCAGAGCCTTAAGAAACAAAAACTTTCTATAAACTTTTGTTTGCTTTTGTTCTATCACGTGTAAGATAGATGTGTTTCTATCTTAATTTATTCTTTCTTTCTTTCTTTCTAAAAATTATATTATAACTGCTCATTAGCTATTTTATCCTTGCTCGAATTTTTTGTTGCGGAAGTTCGCTTAAAATTTTAAAGCTATCAGCGCTTCGAAAGCGTAGTAGGCGTAGTGATATTCTGTTACCACGAAGACTCGTTAATTTATACCGACTCCTTAAGTTCGCTTGTTTCATGAGTTGCTAGCAATCTTTGGAATTCCTTTTTGAACTCAAAGCAAAATAGTTTTCCATTGTGAAAATGATGGAAAATGTAGTAATTTTGATATTTGACCTAGGTGGGGGTTTCATAAATAGCAGATATTCAAGCAAGTTTTTTTTTGGATCTACTAAACAATCTCCCAACTATGGTATCTACTTAAGAGTCTCCACCCCTATGAATAAATTCAGTAAATTAGCGCTAGAGCTTTGTATTGAGAATTATAATTTTGCTGCATTCTGATTGGTCGAAAATTCGGCTAACTTAATCTACTTAACAATCTTCCCCCTTTCTAGATCCGTTTTTTTCTTCCGTTTTTCTTCCATAGCATTGTAGATCCGTTTTTTTCTTCATTAATTGTGAAAAGCGAAAAGGAATTTCCTCATTTTCTTGATTAAATCAGTGATGTTTTAATACTGTATTTAATATCCGCCTGTACTGCATGTTATCATCAAGTTCGAGGGTATAAACGTTTATGAAATTACGTTATTTTCCATAAAAATACAGTTCATTCGAAAAACCCTGTTCATTTAAAGATACATGTAGATCAAAAGATAAATAGAAAAAAAAGATAAAGAAGATAGACAAAAATACATAAAACAGAGATAGATTAGAGAATGTAGATAAAAAAGATACAAAGACCGATGAAAAGATAGATAAAGGTTAAAAAAGCTAAAAATTCAAGTCAAAATTTCAAGTCAATAGAGTTTTTGTTAATTATAAAATGAGCGTAAAGATCTTTAATTACTTTTTTTGAAAAATTAAACTGTTGTTTGCTTCTTTTTACTTTGCTGCTTTTTCTTTGACGCTTCATGTTGGACCACCTTCAAGACTTACAGTGCTTCTCTTCGTACTCTTTTTCGGTCTTCCAGTTCTGGAATTAATAACCAGAGTGCCCTTTCCTTTTCACGGAAACATCGGAACCTCAAGTCTTTACAACGCACTTAGCAAAGGTTGGGCCGGCAAATTATTGCTACACTCTTAATAGGAAAATGTAGTTGGAATAAGTTTAAATTGATTAAGGCCCCAAGTGAGAAAACCATAGCATCAATTTTTCAGTCTATTTACACAAGGGAGCGTAGTGTATTATTACGAAAAAAATGTTCTAACTTAAGTCGCTAATAAAAATGCTCTTTTGGTTGCACTTATGGTATATTTCAATTTAATCATGAATAAGCTTATTTAAGCATAAAGAATTTAATGGCATATGTTGATGCTTTGTTTTTGGCTTGTGTTAGGTCTATTTGAAAAAAACATGTATTATGAAAATGTATGGGACTTGTTGTTTTTTAGTTTTTTGCAATGCTATGGAATTTTTTTTCACGTTTCGCAGAAATTTCAATTTTCTCTAAAACTACTATGCCGATTAAAACAAGGATAGCCGGTTACTGTGCAAGTAGCACAGAATGTTCCGACCAGTTTTAAAAAATACAAAAATGTTTTCTCAATTTGGTGTCGTTTTTTTTCTGCATGTGATAAAAAAATCTGAACAAAAAAATAGAACTTAGACATGAGTCATAGTCAAATAAGTCAATTGGAAAACAGTTTTCGAAGAAAAATGATTAGAAGAACAAAAAAAATTTCAAAATATTTTCAAAATTTTTTGCGAAAATGTTTTGAATTTTCAAGTTTTTGATTCCCAAAATTGAGCTAAAAACTTCAAAAACGACCTTTTCTTGAGTAAAACTAAGTTTTCACGGCTTAAATTAAGCTCAAAAAGTTATTGTAATTACTAACTATCTTACTAATTAGCTCGAAATTGGACCAAAAATCAAAAATTTCAAATCGGTTTTTCTCGACACTGAAAGTGTTTATGAAATTTTTAAATGACTTGAAATTTATGAAATTTTTTGTAACGACTGAAATGGCTTTAATGTGGTATATAACTCAACCCTGTCCGATGATTATTTGTGGTAGCTGATTGGTAGTGTGTGGAAAACTAAAAAAAAACGAAAAAGAAATAAAACACACCCGAATCCAAAGTTCCCCCCATTTTCGATGGTCAGAACAAAAATGGTTTTAATGGGAAAACGGGTTGCTCTTCCATGTGCATGCATATTCCGCTATTCTCTTTTCATTTTACCTCACGTTCTACGGCCTTCGAAAGTTTCGAGAGGGTGATTTTTGGCCTACTTGTTTTCAATTTTCTCGTTTTTTTTTTCAAATATTTAATGCACAAATCAGAGATGAAAGTTTCTACCAAAAGAACAAATTATGGGGATATCCCCTTCTCAAGCGGCTATTGCTAAGTTTCGGTAGAAAAAATTAATGGCCTCAAACAAGCCCATTTTTTGACATTTTGGTTAATTATAAAAACTTTTTGACTGCTCAAACCGAAAGTAAAGGATTTAACCGAAAAATAAAATTAATTATGCGAATCTGACCTGATTTGTTTTTGAAAAAAATATGGCATGGAAAATATCCATTTTTTGATTGCCTGCGTAATCTGTGTTACCCTATTTTTTCGTTAAAAATTTAGTATGGACTTCGGAAAAATTCTTTTTCAAATTTCTACTTTTTTGGAAGTTCCGTCACTATTTTCGAAAACCGCTAGCTAAATCTGATATTAAGGACTCAATCTTTACTCTAAAAATTATGGCGTAGAAAGCAGAGGCGATTCACCTGCTTTAGTAGAGAAAAATCTCTGGATGTAGGAAAAGTCGAATTTTTGACTGATTTTTGAAATCCTTCCCACTTTTTTTCGAAAGCTAGCCCGCCAAATTTGAGATAGACGTCAATTGAAAGAGCGAGTAGTAGTGTTACTCAAATAATTGGTTAATCCCATACTTGAGCAGAGAAACACTAGAGTTTAGCGTAAAGCCCATTTTTTTGAAACTTTGAAAATTACGTATTTCCATATCAGTACAATATATGATTAAAAAATATTAGAACAGGTATGTTCAGCTTTAGCTGGGGCACTAGTTTACTTCCAATCAACCTTGGCGCAGATGCGAGGATGTGAGATTCCTAATCAGCAGGTCGTATATGCATATCCGGAACATTTAAATAATTTTTTTGGTCGATTTCTTGCTTGCATAACATTGGCAGTTAGATAGCAACTGTAGCTGTTTTATTGGTGGCTAGTGTTAGTAAAATTACATGCTTTCGTGGAGCAGATGTGAGAACGTGATACTCCTAATCTGAACAAAAAATTGTTCATGGTTTTTTAAAATCTTTTTCTTATTTCACTTTCTTCTGCCTGTTTAGAGCTCTTTTTTGCATTTTCGTCGCTTGTGTTTGCGAAGCGCAGCTTCGCCTCTGAGTTTAGGTTGAAAAGGCCATTAGACATTTGTTTCAATCAAAAAGACTCATTCGTAGATCTTCACTTGGCCCTCCTCTTCCGCGAATCTGCACGTGGGTTGTCCAGCTTTACATCGTCCAAGCCCACTAAAGGCTTTAAACATGGGGTTCACCGGGTCTATATTGTAAACTATCAAGTTTAGAGTAACCGAATTTAATTATATCAAAGATTTTTTTTGCTATGTTGATTTGTTTAAATCTGTATAGATTTCGTGATCTGATTTTTTAAATGTTCAATGTGAGTGTTTTTGCGCACAAGACGCGCCAGTCTATAAGACTTTTCGTCCGCGCTAAGATTGGGATTAAAATCATCCACCAAATCGTACAGGTGGATTTGCATGCGATTGATTGAGTAATTGATATCTTGATATGCAGCTTTAAAAGTTTGCTTTAAAGCATCTTGTAGACCGCTAACTGTCCCAACCACCTTAGGCATTGGTATTTTTAAAGCACATTTTAATTTCACACGATATATCAAACAAATGATCATGATCAGTTTCACGGATGGATTGGTTAATAGTACCTTACAGGTATTGTTTGTCCGGGTCATCAGTTAACAAGCTAATTTGGCTTGATCTTGTTTGGGTTGATCAGAGTATTTTAATTATAAGGGCCAGCGTGAAAAGGCTCTTAAAAATTGAATGTTAAGAACTCAAACACTTTTCAATGACCTCGGTTCAATTGCTCTCGAATTTTGCTCAATCATTCGACCTCCGCTTGGTGACCCTTGGCCTCCCGATCTTGACTTCTCTCCCTCGCCTCCCTATCTTACCACTATCGTTCCTCTACCCTTGCTTCTCCTCACCCTACTATACACTACCCACCCACCCACCCGGTTGTCAATTCCTTAAAAAGACGGACGAAGGCTGACAGATTTGTAATAAAAAAACGAGCCTTCAATGGCCGTACGGGCTGATCTCGGTTATAAATAATTGCAACAAGAAAGGATGAAAAAAAAGTCAACGGATGATCGGAGCGGTGTCACCTTCATTGAGCCTAGCTTGCCCTGGCATACACTCGCTCGCCCTAGAGTAACGATAGGGTAGGGTAGGGCACGGTAGAAATAGTTCGCTATAAACAAAGATGAGAACCAATATTGAATGGCGCAGAGAAACTACGCTCACACAATTTTTTGAAATTTTTGAGCGGTTGAGAAGTGTTTAATCAGCCTACACAAAAAATTAGCCGAAAAATTAGGCCATCAAACATTGAAAGTCACCTTTTGCCAGACTGACCTCATTAAGATTTTTCAGTCTTAAGGTCTGTTAAGCGTAACAAGAAGTCACCGTTGCCGATTCAAACATTTTATGAATAAGTATTCAGTCCATTGGTAAACATGAGAATCAAGTCAGGTGCGGGCTAATGAAAAATGGAATTATATAAAAAGTGACCTTATGTCAGACATTTCAACCTTTAGGTATAGTTAGCGTTAACTGAAGAAACACTTAACAATGCCGTTTGATACAAAAATAATATTGTGTCCACTAATATAGAGTCATCAAAAACTTACCTGGTAACGAATTTCTCTCCGCTCTCCCCCTTTGAAAAAGGGAAATGGAAATAAAGATGGAAATTGTTATAGCTTAAACCGAAGATTTTCCGAAGATTGTGGATTGAATGGAGTTACTTTGTTTGAGTCAATTTGTTCAAAATGGAGTCAATTTGTTCAAAATTTCAAAAACCGCCATAACTCATTTGGGCGGTTTTTGAAATGTTCATTTGTTGTTCACTGACTCGTCAACGCCAATGTACAATAGTTAAGTGGATGAATGATCCAAAAACGCGGACCTACTAATGTTAGTTTTCGGTCAAAATGGCTGGCATTTAAATTGATATTAATAAGCAAAATGACCAGTTAGTTCTGATATCTATTGTGCTTTATGTACAGGTAAAAGCATCTACGGCAACAAGTTCGAGGATGAGAACTTCAAGCTGAAGCACAAGGGACCCATGTACCTGTCGATGGCCAATGCAGGCAAGGACACCAACGGTAGTCAGTTCTTCATCACCACTGTCAAGACTGCTTGGCTCGATGGCAAGCACGTCGTATTCGGAAAAGTGACAAAAGGAGAGGTATGTTTAACTAGTGAATCTTTTGCTGGATGTGACATCAAATCTGCTACACAGTACTCGTTTGGATCCAGGGTCAAGGATAGCAACAAACCGGATTTTATTGAATGTTTGATTTAAATTGGTTTTTTAGAACTCCCGCCTCATTTTTTTGGTTTGTTTTCTCAGTATTGTTCGTTACGCTTGCGATTAGCATGCGTTATCATAATGAGTTCAAATTTCTAAGCGTCTCCAGCACAGTTAGTCCTTTTCAAAAAAAAATTGTCGGCTTATTATTTGTCTGCTCATGTTTTGTCGGCTTAGTTGCCACATCTCTATGAATTTTTTGCTCTATGCAGTTTTCATCGTAGTTGCTTTTTACACAAGCAAAGCTTGTGTGATAGTATGAACTCTCTTTTTTTCCAACCTAAGTCGCAAATGTTAGTGTTCATTTTAAAAGTGTTCGTTTTGATCAATAACCAGCTATTAAGTACAGCCAATGCTATGGATTTTAACACAGACTATTATATCACTAATAGCATTTTAGCTTCAAGTTATTAGGGATCTGTAGCGTAGAGCTAGGGAAGCAGACCCGCAACAAAATAAGAGGGTTCGAACCTGGGCAGGATCGGATGTTTTTAATGAACTTTTTCGTAGACTATTTATAACGCGTCCGCTCTACAAATTGAGGCATGTTAGTTGGTACATTTCTTTTTTCAAATTGATTGGTACTGCTAATGCGTTTTAATTGGTTTGCGTCACTTAGCAATTATTAAGACTCATAATTGGCGTGCGTCACTTGCGAAGTTTTGTAGTCTCAAAGTTTTACTCAATCAGTTTTCCCAATAAGGTTATTGGTCATGTTTTTGCTTGTGTATACGAAGTGCAACTTTGCCTCTGTGTAGTGTTTTATTTTACTACTTCAATTTGTAATTCTACTAACTTTGACTTCGTATGTTTTCTTTTTTTGTTTTTTGCTCAAAAAAATTTTCGGCCTATATTTTATCGACTTAACAACCTTATTTTGGGTCGTTCGAGCGAACCAAATTTTGTATGCTTTCCGCCGGAGCGCAGAAAGCGTTGAAAATAGAATTTATAGTTTAAAGTTTTTCATGACTTAAATTTTATTTTCGATCTTGAATCTTGTTGAATATTCATCGAATCTGTTTCTGAGCGTCGAATGTGTTTCTTGCGTGTTTTCCGCATATAGAACATCATTACGGAAAGCATTTCGAAGTTTGTTTAGTTATGGTTCCTGTTTTCTTTGGACCTAGTGGCTTTCGTTTCATGTCCGCAACTTTCAATGCTATTTTTGTGGTATCGCAAGTGATGCGAAGCTCCACTTCGCATATGTGTTTAAAAAATCAATCATATATGATACCGAAATGAAATTCATTGAAAAAGACCCAAAAACAAAAGAGATGTTTTCCACATTTTTTAAATTCCAAGCCGGTTTCTCAGGTTTGAGTGCTGAAAAAAAATTACTTTAAAGCTGTTCAATTCAGCTGTTGCCGAAATGCAGGAAATAAATGTTTCAATGTTCTCAATTGATTTATTTGATATTCATTTCGTGATTTAAATCCGATGTAAATCATTGAATCAAATCAACCTGATTTAAATCATGCAACCCTTGATGGGTCCCTGGAGAGAGACTAATGGACGTGAAATTCTTCTGGAAAAAGGTCTACACAGATAGTGTTTTTCAGATTTTCAGGAAATTTTTACCTTTTAAAGTAGATTTGAACTGTTCAAAAGTGTCAACGAACTTAGTGAAGACACTTTTATAGGTCGTTTCTTTAGATGGAAAGTCGTAAAAAGTTCACGCTCAATTTTGATTTTCCTAGGATGTTGTGCGAGCAATTGAAAATACCCCTGTGTCCGGAAGTTCGCCCAAGGAGACAGTGACAATCAAGGACTGCGGAGTCCTAGAGGTTACTGAAGAGTTCAACGTCGAGGACTGAACAGCTGGGCTATACTCGAGATATGAAGAAGGAGAGTAAGCTTGAAGTAGTAAATTACTCCTGAAAAACTCCTGCTTGAAGAAGTACAATACTTTACTGTAACGAAGTAATGGACTCATTTTATTGATGATTTTAAAACGTAAAAAACAATAGTATATTGTGAGTGCTAAATATATTTGCTAGTACTATTTTTGGGATGATTAAAAGTGCCTAAAATATTTATTATAACGTCTATTTTGTAAATACTGATAAGAGCGGCCCACTTTAAGTTTTATTTAATGTAATATTTGGAGTGTTATAATTCTTTGAGTATACTGTATTTGAGCGGGTGAGCATTTATGTATACTTATTTTATGGAATTCAGTTTCGTGTGTTTTTATCTCTTTACAATGGTTATCAAGTAACGTTTGAGGGCTATTGCTTATTAAGTGTTAATGAACGAAGTAATATATCTATCAAGGTCGTGATGATTTTTGTTTTCTCAGTAAGTCTCAAAATTTATTCACGCCCAAATTAGATTTTTTTTTTGCATTTTTTCTTTGTAATTGAAAGTCACAGTGAAGACACTTATATAGATGGTGATAATTTTAAAGCTTGATCTTTGATGTTTCTTGAAAAATTTAAAACGCCAAATTTGATCTTTGATGTTTCTTTCTCATATAATTTCATAAGCTAAAATGAAAGTAAATCACGCACTAATTAAAAAACGAAAGTGGCGCGAAAAAACATGAATGATTTATAGGTTCGAAAGAGATTTTGTCCGAAAAAACTGCCAGGTATAAAAAATCATCGGTATAAAAAATTGCGTATTCATTAATCCAGTTTTCTCTAATTGAGTTAATCTCTTGAAGAAGATGGTTGATCAAAAATGAATTTAAAAAAGAAATTCATGAGTTCAATGGACCTTTTCAACTACTTGCTGGCTATCTTTTTTTTTCTATTTGCGATAGCAAGTATATTGCAACCGGGTACTAGACTTTTTTCCCGAAAGTAACTTAATTAACAGACTTCAGCAGACTATTACTTTTGCAGATTATCACTTAAGATTTAATTTTTGTCAGATTAATTTCCGATTCTACTGCACCGTTTTGCTAAATACTATTTAGAGAGGTTTGAACTCTGATAAAATTCACATTCGACAAGCTAGTAAGAGTGTGCAATTGATTTTGATAAAATTTACATTTGATAAGCTAGTAAAAACCAATTTGTCGATTTTGATTTTTAAAATTTGAATAGTTTTTTGCTAGGAAAAGTTTGTTTTTCAGCTATGTGTTCAAAGTTCAATTCAATGTAAGTTGCTAAATGGAAGCAATTTATGCTCTGTAATAAAAGAATTGCAAATGTGCCAAACCTTGAAGATTCTGAGCAAAAATAAATTAATTTTGACCCTATTTCGTAAATGTTCAATTGAATGAAAAAAGCGTTACCATAAAACATTTTGAGATCCAAAAATCTTGAAAGCAATAGTTTTCTCTTTAATTTAAAAGTTGAAGTGATTTAAACAATCGATTTTTTCTGGTTTCATAGTGTTTATTGACGCTTTGTCTGCTGGCTGTAATGAGTTATGTGGAACATTGTCTGCTTCACTGAATAATTTATTAACATGGAATTTTCTAGTTTATTATATTTTTTGATATGATTTAGTATCTTTCATGGATATGTTTTTGTAGGGGTTTTGTCTCGTAGAATATTATGGATGGCCAGGTAGAGAACTTAAGATTTTTAACTAATTCTCAGCTCTACATATGATTGTTTTTCTCTAAAATCTATGACTTTATCGAAATTCTTTGTGATCCAAAGCTTTCAGTTTTTTCTTTAAGTTTTTTTGTTTCTAATCCAAGTCGGATAGCTTAGTACCAGTTTCTCAAAAATGCTAATGTAGTGTTTAACCTTGCGATAAGCAAGGGTATTGCAATCGGGTACTAGACTTTTTTACTATAAATAACTTTTTTGACAGAATGGTCAATTGTATTAGAAATGGTAAATTTAAATTTCACGATTGCTGACATGCAGACTGATGGCTGGCCCAATTTTTGAAAGTTCAAAAAAATTACTATCATTTAGGTAGTAATTAGGGGAAGTTCGTTTCAGGTAATCGCTTTTTCAAATAAAATTCTTGAAAAAAAATGTTTTTTTTTTCGTAATCGTAGTTTTCGTCCTAGTTTACGGCAGCTCATTTTTTGAAAATGCAATTTTTAATATGTTCTACGCTTTTTTGGGCTTTTGTCCAAAACATAGACGATTTTTTAACAATTTAAACAGTTTAATTATGATTTTTAGAGATTTTTTTTCCGGTTAAACTGTTTGGACTTATGATATTTCAGCTAAGTCAAATAACATTGCGTAGCTTTGAGGGTAAAATACATTTTTTCTAATGCTTTTTCGTTGTTCCTTAAAAATTAAATGCTCTAAATTTTTATGACAACTTTTTTTTCAGCTCCATCATCTCTTCTTTTTAATCTGTTCTTTCTACAAACCTTTCTATTTAATATTGAACCATAACATCTTTCAGTTTCCTTTCTAATTGGCCTAGGAGTAACGCCGTTGACTTTGCATCTTAAGGTCCGGGGTTTGCGTCTCGGACGGATCTTGTTTTTTTTTCATTTTGCATGAAATTGAAAAAAAAATCGTTTTAAATTGAATTGTCGGACTTTCATTTGTCTGCACAAGTTTTGTCAGCGAAAATGCCACATCACGGATTTGCTTGTGCGAACATGCCACATCAAGAGTTTGCTTGTGCTGCTAGCAACTTTCATTGCAAGTGGTAAGTGTTGTTTATTCTAGTATCTGGGGGTGAATTTTAGAGATTTAATTTTTTTTCATAAAATCATTTTTTTCCCGCTTCAACTGGTGTCTGCTCAAAGGGTGTCGGCTTAAAAGCTACTTTACTGATTTTCTTGCGCTGGAAGCAAATTTCATTTTTGTTGCAAGTGGTGCAAGTGTTGGTCATTTTAGTGTCCGTTGGGACTTAAAACTTCATTTTTTTACATTCAATCATATGTTTTTCGGATCAACTTGTGTCTGCTCAAAGTTTGCTGCCCCCTTTTGAAAGTTTTGATCCTTGCTAATTTAATGTTCAAATTTCTGGGATATTTACTCTGAATGAATTTCTTTCGAGCCAAATTGAGGCATATGTTTAGTAGTCAATGGCGTAGGTGCGATTCTTGAAGCGGTTAACTTTTTGTTTTTCCATTTTTCAGTTTTTTAAAAATGTTTGTGGCTTATTCTTACTATTTGAAACCATCAATGTGCTAAAAAAATTTTGTGTTGATGAAAACCTGAATTTTCTGATTGAGGAAATTATGAGCACAAGCAAGTGTAGTGTTATTTTACGAAATAATTTTTTCTAGCCTACTTTACAACCAAACCATGGCGCAGATGCGTAGACATGAGATACAAAATCTCTTGTGCGGTGGATCAATTCCGGCACAGCAAAAGTCTTTTTAACCTTTTTTTTTTCATTCCTGGCTTCATTTTTTGTTTTTCAGAGTTTTTTCGCCGTTTTCCTGCTCACGCTTGCAAAAACCAACTTCTTCCGTGTGTAATAACTATGTCAAAAAGCTTTGACAAATCCGACAGAAAAAGAGTCTTCGCGGCGCTTAAACGTTTGGTTCACGACCTGAACTTTTTTGCCAGTTTTTTTTGGGTTCTGATTGAATTCGTTCAGAGGAAACTCAATCATAGAAACATTATTGAAAAGTACAACTAAAGTATCAGAGTATCAGAATGTTTTTTTTTTCATCCGGAGTAAGTTTCTGTGATATTTTAATGACTATTTGCGCGTGTGCGTTTTTAAGTCAAAACTTTACTCAAAATTAGAAATTTTATTGGTTAATGTTGATATACGTTTTTCTTTTCTGCAACTAGTTTAAAAGTCTTTTCTGCAAGTAGTTTAAAAGTCCTTTCATTTTCTTTAATGATGTTTTTCTTATTGATTTATTTCAACATAGTGAGCGCGCTATTATTTTGCTGGTATGTTTATCTACTGGTCCATATCTTAAGTTTGAATCAATGAAGTGAAGGCACTTATTTACGTGACACTTATTTGAATCAACGAAATGAAAACAGTTTTTCGTTTTTGCTTTCTTGAAAAAATATTAAAAATTGTTCAAATTAATTTGTTTTGATCAAATTAAGATTTTCGCGTTTTGAGTTTTGCGCTTTTCTGAAACCTACATCAAATTCATTTAGTAAATGAAAGGCAATGACTAGAACAATTGTGCGAAAAAATAACAAAAAGATTCATCATGTTGATTTAAATCCAATCTATTGATCGATTTATTCGAGTTGGGATATTTGTATCAATTTTTTGAAGACCTCATCATTTTTTTGAAGCTTGAAAAATTTTCAGGACATGTTTTTCGTTTTGACAATGCTTAAACAAATTCTTTTTTAAGTTTATTGACGTTTTCGAAACTGTTGTTTTTTTAAATCGAATCGGTAAACTTAAAAATTCGGACAGTCAAATTTTTTTTTGGTTTCCTTGAGTTGTTTTATACTTTTCCCTTTCTATGTTGTATTTTTTTGTGGTTTGGCTAAATTGTTTGCAAAAATATGTATGATTGTTTCAATTTTGAGCGCTCTACGATAAATTAAGCAAGGCATTGGAGACATATTGTCAACATTTCAGCCAAATTTTTGAGGTGTTGAACGGTTATTTTCTTGGAGATCAAATAAGCATCAATTCAATCTAATTGGGTTTTGTAATTCTTTCTAGCTGGCCTAAAGCTCAGCCTTTCCTGTGGAATTTTAAGAAGGGTTAAGGAACAAGAAGGGTTAAGATTGTGTGTGGGGGTTTATAAACTGATTTGAAAAAAGCAAACGGATCAAGGTTCTCGCAACGTATTTTTGTTTGCAAAAATCATCGTGGTCAAAAATATTTTTCATAAATTTTTTTGGAATAGCGTTACTTAGGTTGGTGTGCGTCTGGGAGATGTAAATTATCAAAAATATAGCAAAAACAAAGTTAAACAATTTTTTGGTACCTTGGTTCATAACGAGTTCAGATTTCTGACTGTCTCCTCCACACTTAGCATGGAGGTAACGATTGCGCTTGGGAAGGTAAACGTCCTGGGTTCGAATCTGACCACGATTTGGTTTTTTTCAAACCGTAAAAATTTTGGGCTAATAATTGTCTGCTTATGTTTTTTCGGATTAATTGCTAGATTTAAGAATTATTCATTTATTGTGCAAACAAATATCAACGTAGTTGCTTAGTGTCGGTTTCGGTTTGCTTATGTCTACTTAGTTGTCCCTTATTGCATCATTTCGTGGCCGAGAAAATTTTTGTGTGCGTGTGTTTTCTGAGGGGAAGGTGGACTCATAATTTTTTTTGAACTTATTTTCGGCATGAAGGGCTTCTGCTGAGGTTTATTGTTT